TATCCACGAGTATGAGACTTACGTGAGTTGACAGCTGTAACGTAATAATGGATATATCGGAGGATCAATGATCTACCTGGGCGATTTATTCGCCATTTGAAAAATAGACAACAAAACTACTAGATGACAACGATATGAGTATTATTTGTAGGCTGGTATCTTTATATCATCTCAAATTTGATGGTATAGTTTCTTGTAACCATGACTAGGACTATGCGATTACAACCGCAAGAACACCCAGGACGACCCTCTCTACTTTAGTCATTCCCGAGTCGACTTCAGCAGATCTAAACTTTGTGGAATGCTCATTCCAATCTTCATGTGCGTTGTAGAGACGAGGCCATACTGGTCTTCAGAACGGAGGCTTATAAGCTTTTGGAAAGAAAGAAGAAGAGTGGAAGAATAGAATCAATAGAAGAGCTAGATAGGTGAATCTGTGTATTGGTTAGTCGATGTATATGAAAAGAGGAGTAAATCGGTGAATTTAGAACGTAAAAGGGGCGTTAAAGAATGTAGCTTGGAGTTGATATATAAAACACACTTGTCCTAAATCCGAATACCACATCCGTCAGAAGAAACGCCAAAGATATGAATGCAAGGAGAGAACACTGTGAAAGTTTCTAGTGGCTTTACAATTCCTATCATGCAGTTCAGATATTCGCAACTCTGAAGTTAAGGTCGAAGCAGCGAGGGAATATCCGATAACTTTATCAAATGAGACAAATGGCAATGAAGAGGTTTTAATCAACAGTGAGGATGGTTGTTTGGATTGGCAATTTAAAGGATCAGGAAACAGAAACAAAATGTGTGAAATCCCCTTTCAAATCAAAAGCCAGAGGAGAAACAATGGACATTCCAGGGAGCCACTCCCTTGTATGACGTATTACATCCGAGCAGTATTCGGTTTCTACCCTGCCGCAAACTATGGATCGCAATGGGTCTTAGATAGAGGCATGGTTGAGAAGAATTTAAATCTTGCGTTGTCAAGTGAATATAATTCTGGTCTATCCAAGAAAGACTAGATGCTGGAAGATTAGGAAGCTACCACCAAGGTGAAATTTAGAGGCTCACGTTCGGCGGGCTTTTGAGTTATAAAACGCGCGTATGAAGTTCATGAAAACAATACACTATGCTCTGAAAATGAAAATGAAGAGGACTAGGAGCAATCTATAACAATAGTCCGATAGAGATGAGAGTATAGCGGTATAGAGTGTAAATCAAGGTTCTAAAGCCAGAAAGAAATTCCACATCGAAAAGTATCTACACCTGACTAACAATAGAAGATCGCACATGTGAGATTCTGTTTCTTAGCAGCTACGATTTTTCCCTGAGGGTCTGACTACAATTCGAGAGGCTCATATATGAGGACATGTAGGAACTACAAGACACTTTGAAAGGGTAAGCGAATATGGTGACGCATTGAGAGGTAAATACGCGAGTGATTGAGTTTTAAAAAACTTGATGATGTGATTAGCATAAATAGGAAGGCAAAACGGATCATACAACTTTCTGTAAGCTCAAAATTCAAAAATTGGAGGTCATTTCATTTGGAGAAGGGTGGCAATGACAAGATTGAGGTATGAGAAGTACTTGAAAGTAGAGACTCCAGCGTTCTGTGTCGCAAAGCCTGTGGTGTGTATGATGATTGATTTGCCCTAGAATGTGATTGTACAAGGAATTCATCATGTCTGCGCCTTTTCTTACTCGTGCCAAGAGACCCATCTCGAACGAAACAAGCTTTGGACTACTAGGTATGACTGTCAAAGAATATGCTTCAGATCAATGGCTTGATACTCTCAACCAATACGAACTCAGATCAAACCAATCCCCATCAACTTACTCGAAGCTATTTTTATGGAAAATTGGCTCGAAAATCAAGCTACCAAACGGAACTACTCGAAATACTACTAACGCATTCTTTCAACTCAAATTAGGTTATGGATATATCAAATTCTACTTATATCGCTTCAAACTTACCAATAACAAATACAGATATAGTAATACCGAGACACCTCAACACCTCCTTATTAGCTATTCGATATATAAAATAAAAAGAAAAGAGATCTTTAAAAAAATACCATTATCCAAAAACACTATACAATTCCTATTACATATAAAAATAGATATCGAATTAGCTATCAAATTTATTAATATTATCAAAATCGCTATAAAGGCATAGCATTTAGCAAGGATTCTTGAATAAGAAGTAATAAAGGAAGGAGTAATAATAGAAGAGGAAAGAAAAAAAGAGAATGAAAAAGAAGCAGTTGAGGAAATAAGAGAGGGGTTTGATCTCCTCACAATTTTTTGATTTTCAAAATTTTCTTATTATATGTAATGCGTATAATGAGTAGGCATTATTCCCTAGCATTTGTTTTTATTTCTTCAATTAGATTATATTCAATATTGTAAATTAAAAAGTTACTTGTTAGGCTCTTAGGGCCTAGTCATCCTATATAGTCTTGGACTGAAGATGAATGTTAATAAAATCAATCAATCAATCAATCAATTACTCGTGCCAAGAGGGATTCCAGCCACGTTTGGCCGCCGCGGCAGAGCTTTCCGGGGTCCTTGCAATGCTTTTGATTAATCTCGCTATCTACACCATCAACTCGCTTATTGTTACTGCTGGATGTCATCGCTTCATGTTTGCGATAGACAATAAACACTGTGTTTGATGACAACATTTCTTAGTCTTTCGAAATATTTGATAGGCTTGGAAAGCAAGAATGGTGCTGAAAATGGCCCAGGATATTCTGGCTTCTACATCGAACTTTCGCCAGAGTCACGGCAATTGTAAGATAACGTCCCAGAAACAATATTGGGTAGATTGGTCTTGTTAGCGCTCATACTGACACTGTAAGTCGAGACCTCTTTGGAATAAATAATTCAGACCCGGAAAATTGAGGATAACCAGGAATGAAGTGACTGGACGGGTGATTTGATCGGGAAAGAGATCTTCAACTATCCAGTGAATGCTAAGCAATAAATATAAGTTGGAAACGAATTTTATTCTTTGGTAGAGTTAGGAAAGAGGGGAAAGAGCAAGGGCAAACAAGAGCAAATAATCTCGTGACTGAATATTGAATTCTGCTAGCCGTCAGTTGACTCAATATCAACCACATGAATATAAATCTGCAAACGAAGCTCTTCCTGCCAATAATATCATGAATGTTTGGAGAGAACCATGATTCGGGCGCGGGAACAAGGGTATCAGAATGGCTTTTGCCACGTCGAGTGTCTCCCAAAGAGAGGATACAAGGTCGATTTTCCAAACATATCAACTATCAAATGCGGAAGGTGCATTGTATTCGTTGTCATTTTCAAACATAATTCAAGCGATTCACTTCGACAGCAACAATATAACCAGTTTGAAGACGAGGATTAACCAACAGACGATAGTACAGATATACTCTCAATAAGGACAACAACGAAAAGATGCATGAAGCACAATCAACAAAAAGCCATCAAATTCATCATGACAATATCCCCCAAAATTGAGAAGCTAGCTTGACACTTGTACTCGCATGTTGCGCTTTGGTGGACGACCAAAAACTCAAACTTCCTAGGAAGCAGAAACAAAACCTTCGAGTTGTTGTATTTATCGATTTCAGAAATGGAAGGTTGGAGTTTATATAGAAAGGAACTTAAGGATACTGGCTAGTGTATTGACAATTTGGGATTCCTAGACTAAGGAAAATAAATCAATATGGGTTTTACTAAGCATTCTATCGAGATCTAAAGTGAATTCTAAAAGAGGGGGAGATTCCAAGGCTGATTAGATCCCGATGAGGTAGCGGAGTTTCTTCAACATTAAGAACATAAATAAGGAGAGCTAATCCTCGTATTTATTTGCAACGTTCTTCTATGTTCACATTTGATACCAAATAGGCTCTCAATCTGCTAAGATATTGACAGGATTATATGGATATACGGTATGAATAGCTGAGAATTTGGAATCGATGTTGTAACCCTTGAATGACAGACGGAAACGCAAGGAAACGCTGACAACAGGTAGTTTTCTTTATTCTATCGACATCATATATTCGAACATGGAAAATGAAAATATAATATGAGGCAGTCCCCGAAAACCCCCACAAAGTGTCCCGGGTAATGTGTCTCTGAATTGTGACTTGTAGTCATATCATGCACTTGCATTATCATGCCATTTTTGTGCTCGCTGCGACCATAACGAAAAGAAAATCATGCACTACATGATCCTTCCTTAAGTAGCCAACCAGTGACTCCACTATCTATGGCCGAATGTACTCATCAGTCATGTCCCCTCTCTCGACCATTCCTCTAGTTCACTTTATCATCGATCTTCTAAAAGCCGATGTGTAAACGAAGAAGCTTTTCGAACCCTAGTTTCTAGATTTCTCGTTAATCCCACTCCCCGTCCTATTTATAACAAGAAGCAGAGAGACCACAGACATCATGCCCACAAAAAAAATCTCGGGCCCTATGTCATGGCTGGAATACTAAACTATCCATATAATAATAATAGTCCATTGAAACTGCAGCTTACAGTTAGTTATCCACAACAGCATCTCAGCGGAAAGTCTCGTCCAATATCTTACAATTACGACAACACTTGAAGTTGATCGACAAAAACATTTCTTCAGCAACAACAGTAACACATCAGACGATAACCTCTAGAGTCAGGCCAGAAGAGAATTATTCAACCAACCCTCCCCGACCCGAAATCTAATCCCATAGATCCCTGTGACTAAAATTCATTCTAGCATACTATTCCGACATGGCATTGATGCAGTGTCGATATCTTAGTTGAAGATCACCGCCTCCGAGATGAACTTCTCCAGCTATAAAGAGAAGGGTTAGAACTTCGAACGATGGAGCCGAGCTGTGAGATGTAGGATCTAGGTGAATTATGATAAAGATGAAGCGGGTTTATCGAGGGGTAGATTGGTACATGATACAAAATCGTAAGATCTTAAAGGGCGTGATAGATAAAATTCACCATTACAGTCCCACCACATGCGACCCTGTCGCCTCACCCGCTACTAGCAGAAGAGAAAGCCACCCCCTCCACCCCCCTCTCATTTATTCACTAGAACTCAAAATCTTACAAGCCTCCAATATTTAAATTACCACAAACCCACGACTTTGGCCATACAAACAAAAGAGCAAGAGCGAGACCGACTGAAGATGGGGAAGTTCCGGAGAATAAGAAATATTTATATCGAAACAACATAGAACAGATTATCGTGATTTGTTTGACAGGATTGTGTTGAAATTGCCGAACAAAATATGAATTTTCCACAAAACCGCGGAATAGATGACAACAAACGTTTGTTGCCGTTCGTTTCCAAATGAGAGAAGATTAAATAGACGAACAAAGATACGATCCTAATCCCCAAACTTCCCCCCAAATCCTCTCGTGCTCCCTCCAGGAGAAAAACATCTCAAAGCACTGGATATCAAATTAAAACGCAAAACCCTCCAAACACCCTCCAAAACCCAGGCCTCATACCATAACACCCATCCAACCCAAGCTAACGCAACCCAACTCAAAATTCCAAATCCAAATCCACATTCACGTCCACATCTCCTCCTCTCTACTTCCCTCCAGCACCGCCCACCCCACCCGCATTCCCAGAAGCAGCAGCCGCACTAGCCGCAACACTCACCTCCGTCTTTCCACTTCTTTTCCACTGCAAATCGAAGAAGATATTAGATTAGCTTTTTGTATCCAAGTATCCAATTATCCAATTATCCAATTATCCATTCATCAACTTCCTCACATTCTCACATTCTCACATTCCCACATTCCCACACACAACCAAACTCCTTTCACCCTTCCCCCAATCCCAAAACAAGAAAAGAAATAAGTAAACTCACAACCGCAACCAAAAATCCACAATTTGCACACTTATGATGTACATCCTTAAAGCTAGTCATGAGATACGGTACGCACGGAAGACAGAAACAAAGACAGCAGAGGAGAGCTGAGATACTAGAAATTGAGGGGCTTGATTAGCTTTTTTCTTCATCACCTTTTTCCTCCCATCTTTTCCCTTTCCCATCCCCTCTTCCCACCCCCTCCTCATTCCCCTCCAGACTCCAGACTCCTCCCCTCAATCCACCCCAAACCAAAAAATAAGAAAAACAACTCACTCAGCAGTCCCCCCACTAACCCACTCCACCCCCGTATACTCACACACCCCACACCTCGGACACCTCACCAATCTCGATTCCTTCTGCAGCGACGTGAGAGGCGCCGGATATTGACCTTCATATTTTCCTCCCCCATTCCCTCCTCCACTCGCATTCATCAACACATCCGGCCGTATTTGAAATTGCGGCGGAGTTTCATTTTCATTCCCTCCATGGTGATTATTCTCCACAGTCCTCTTCTCACTCGAATGCTGATCAGCGTGCGCGTTGTATGAAGGAGGAGGAGGTTGAGTATTAATCTCCAAATGGCTTGTGTTTACTGCATTGCGACTTTCGGTTCCGGTTTCGGCTCCAGTATTAGCGTGAGGATTGTGATTGTGACTGTGATTGTGATTTTCCACCACCATTGGGATATCAGAATGCGCTGTTTGTGTTGAGGGAAGATTTGTATTTGTATCCGTATTTGTATTTATGGGTGATTTGGTTTCCATTTTCGTGTATGCTTGATTGATCGATCAGTTGATCGATTAGTTGGAGATATCCACTTGTGATATGATGAGATGAGATGAGGGTATCCAGATATCCGTGAATAAGAGTCGTCAAAGGAAACCAAAATTCCAAAATTCCGAAATTCCCAAAAATCAGAAAACAAAAATTACATCAAGAATCCAGCACAAAAACATGAGACAACCTCTTCCTATATACATCCCACCATCCTACCATCCCACTCCTCTCCCTCCTCCACTTTCCCCAGACATCCATCCATTCACCACCGTTCCTTCCAACCATCCATACCTTACCAAGCTACCCACCCGCGCCAAACCTCAGCCGCACCACTTCACCTCACCTCATTCCCCAACCCGCCAAGAAAACCCACTCACCTCCCAAGCCGGCTCAAGGCACACATCCCTCTCATGACATTCCCTCCTCGTATCAAGTACCATCAACCCTCACAAAATTACAAGTCCTGAAGCCTGCCTAGCTACATATTCTCATCCCATCTCATCCCATCCCATTACATCATATCATATCATATCATATCATATCCTCCCCAATACCAAAGCACATCAGAGGCAGAAAAAAAGTGGGAATTCCCCAGCCTCACAAGTCACAACCCTTGGAAATTCTTGGCTTGACGTCGTGATCGCCGGAGGTATATACCTGCCACGCCGACCCTGTCAATACTTTGAACAGGCTCGCAAGATCGGGGGTTCTCAATAAATACATTGAATAAGGCAATGAGAGAATCATGTGCACTTGCAGTTCATTCTCTACCCTCACTAAAGTCATAAAAGAACGAAACGAATACATTAATTCACTTCTCACAAATCTCAACATGCCTATCACATCACCCGATACATACCTAGGTAGTCTTTCAAACAAAACAAATTCCATAGAACCATTCGGTATTTATATTTATAATTACTTAAGAATATACTATACACAGAATGATGAACCCGAACGATCCACCACCCCCCTTTGTAACAACTCCCACTCCATTTTCCATTCAAGATCACCCATTTCTCCCATTTCTATCACTTAATTGCCATGCAGACGATAATATTCCCATTCATTTTCAGGTATTTTTTCTTTCCTCAAAGCTAGAAGTCGTCAAGATGAATTTAGATTCCAGTTCGAATAAAACAGCCAATCTCTTTTGACACCGAGATGTAGTAAGAAACTCTTCCCTTAGCCGGCAGCGAGCGACGACGATAAAAAAAACTCCTTGTAAATGCTTGAAATAAAAACTCCTTATTTGCTCGCTTCTGTATATGAATGACTGTGCTGCATCGCTGTATCAGATTGTTTTACAACTTTACTGATTTTGAGGATCGAGATAGCTGTCGAGTATATGACTCTTGTTGCTTATTGCCCTATTCATGGATATGTTGATTAGGCCCCGATCCTCACATATCCCTGCACGTGGTTTTGATTCTCAAGACCCTCCATTACACTTCCTCTCGGGTTACCACCGGCATTAACACCTTGCATATTAATTCCTCCATTTGCCAATCGGAAATTTGTCGTATTAGACATTGGTGCTTCAGGTGCACGTTGAACACCTGCATTAACGTCTGTCATATCGACAAAAGTATCATCTTCCTCCATATCTGCATCACCATCTGCATCTTGATCGCTTCCAATGTCTTGCGCATCCTCTTGCAATGGTTGGCTCGTTATGGAAGAATTAAGCTGTGGTGGATTCGATGGAGGTAACGCTTCATTAATATTATTCTCAAGTGGCTTTTGTGCAGCCATGCCAGATCCAGGCTGTCCAGACCCGGCTCGAGCTTGCTTGACAACACCTTTCCAACGACCAATTGCTCGTTCCACTGCCGTATCGAGATGTACACTTCGATCCATGAGTTGAAGACCAACAGCTTTGTGCGTCGTTCCCAATTTACCTAATTCAGTCATAAGACGTGAATCAATAGGTAGTGGTGAAGGTGGTTGAATCCTGAATTCCCTGGGTTGTTGTAATCGACTTAATTCCTCAACTTGTAATTTTGAGTGCGCCGTATCCTGTTGTAAAAGCTCCTTCTCCTTCTTCAACTTGGATATTTCCTCAGACTTTCGACCGATATTACGAGCTAATTCGAGAGTCCAAAGTTCAGTCCTCTTATTTGGAGGCAACGAATTCCAATGCCCAAACATTGAATGTAAGTGCTCAGAAATTCTAGCCTCCATGCTTTGAGCATCTGCTTCCGCTTGTTGGTGTAGTGTAGTAAGACTCTCGAGACCAATGAAGTTTTCCTGCGGAGGATATGATAAATCATCTTGTGGAGTTGTCGTAGCGATGGATATTGAGATACGGTAGCGGTGAAACTCCGATGCAAAATGTTTCCGCAATGCTTGATATTGTAATTCATCTGGTGGAAGGATAGACCATGAAGTAGAGTTTGGAATAGGGGTAGACGCATAAAGGGTCGGTGGTGGTGGCAGACAATGTAAAGTGAGGGCAGGAAAATCCAAACTAAAAGGATCGTAATCAAAAATATTGGGGCCTTCAATTCGTTGTCTGTAGGATTTTGAGTTAGAATTGAACCCGGATTGTGTAGTTGGGAAAAACTTACTTGGCTGCTCTAACCCCCCCTAAAAGTTCTCTTAATGCCAATTCTGCTGCTTTTGCATTATCCAGAGCTTCTATCATCTTTTGTTTTTGCTCGAACGTCGTTTTCGCTAGCATTTGTTTGCTGACAGATCTATTTCTGCCATCCGATCTCCTACTCCCATCTCTGGATTCATCTCCATCCCAACTTCGAGCGGTTTCGCCATTTCGTGCTTGAGGAATATGATTCATGACGCCTGTTGACTCCCATGTACCGCCATTCACAACAAAATTAGGTCTTCGACCACCCAAAGTTTGACCTGGCACCCCTCTTGACATGCACATCATATTCATAGCCGCTCCATCATCTCTCCTTAAGCTTGGAGAGTCACTCCCTACCATTTCAGAATCATTATTGGAATTCCCCCTGTCCGATCCTCCAGGTGTCCCTGCAGGTGTCGAATCTTCCCTCCTTGAAGTTGAATTACGTGGCTGCCGCCTTGTAATGCCTCCACGAAGCTTCCTTATCTCATCCACACTATGTATACCATCTGCCGCTTTGGGATTCTTCTCCTTGATGTAAAGATCGAGATGGCGGCCAAGTGAGGATGAAGTAAATGCTTGATGACAGAATGGACAATTCTTGTCCTTTGGTGCGGAATTCTTGCCACCATTTACTGAAAGATCAGCACTGGAATTGGGGGTGCCCATTTGTTCGGCCATATCAACAATCGTTGCGCGCTGTGCTTGGATACAGTAGGAATTTGCTATCGAATTGGTACATGTATATATCTTCTTGTTTACTCCAGACCTCCTCTTTGTTTATGTGCAGACGCAAGTAATTTCAGAATAATATAAACCCCCAAATAACAAATACTCCTGCGAAGAAAGTAGAAAATCGAAAAAGAGGTGAAGGTAAAGGTAAAGATTGTAACGGTCAAAAGAAGGAGCAGTGGAAACTGAATCTAAGGGGTTTGCAGCTTTGAATTTGTTCCTTCTTGGGGATTAGAGAATATTTCGCTAACAGGGATTAATCGACGACCCATTCCGGAACCCGATAGTTTAATTCTTGGTGCTCCGCAAATCATTGACAATTGGACAGTCAGATCATTATGAGGGAGAAGGGATCAAGGGAGAATTATGAATGATGAATTGCACATGGAGGAAATGAGAATTCTATGTAAAGAGAAGGGAAGGAAAGGAAAAGGAAAAGGAAAGAGGAGCTTTGATTGATATGATACTTGGAATATATTGGAATATACAGTATGGATTGGTTTCAAAATAAGATCAAGATCAATACACGCCTTTTTTCCACCTAGGGACTACTTGGTGAAAGATGTCAAACACACAAGAGTTGAATTGGTCCCCTGGTTGGATAGCTATGGAGTTGCAATCATCCAATAGATTCACTATTCATGGCAATTGATTGGATTCTGAAGAGAAGTTCTCATTGGTGTTACATTGACTCATTTGGATTCGTTGAAAGTACAGCAAACACAGCACCAAATTAGTCAATCAATCACGAAGCAAACATTTTACCATCAACAACAAAATTTGTATTGTTAACTCTATACTCATCTATGTGAGGACATCAATCATAAACTATTCCATGAAAACGCCCAAAAATAAATGCCACTCTTTGCCCACCCACCGATGATGCTCATGAAACCTGTGAGATATGGATATCTAAGAATCATTTGGTATACCGAGAAAATGCCGCCAGTAGAAATGCCACGAAACACGACGGAGAAATCATTGCAACAATGGATCCTAAATAATGTTGTTAGTGGAGTCATGTTCAAAAACGGTTGATGACAACTTACTCTGAAGTGTTTTTGTGAGTTGTTCTGCTTATTGTTTCTCCAGTCAAATTTACGGCGTTCGTAGTTCTCCACCTTTCTGGATCTTTTCTCCGCCGCCTTGACTTCTCTTCTCTTCTCAGCGGTGACACCAGCCATACCCAGACCTCCATTTGCACGGCTCATAAGTGCTCTTCCACGTTCTCTCTCATTGCGTCGAACAACACGTTCATCTTGCTCTACATCAGAATCGGAATTTTCGGCTGCTTCAATTGCACGTCGTTGTCTCTCCTCTGGTGATGGATGATTGACCAAATTTTGACGATAATATTTCTGTAATGATCGATGTCCAGCGGTACGACCAGAAGGTAGGTGAAGCTCATAATCAGCATAAAATGCTGCATGATTGTGTTTATGAGCATGTGAGTGCCACCCATCCTTGTTGTGGTGTGATCGAGGATCGGTGTGGGAGTGATGAGGATGCTGATGAAGTTTCTCATACTGGTGCGTTCTCTCATCAAGTGGAACTGCGGTAAGATCTGCGGAATCCAAGGAAGACTCGGAACTGTCAGTTTCCCATCCATCACCATTCTCCATTTCTTCGTCTCCTTCGGCATCAATTGTCGTTGGACGTTTAGCTCCAAGTTTAACGCCACCACTGTTTTGTTTTCCTGGTAATGCATCTTCCGAATCTGATTCTTCCTCGTCATCAGAGTATGTGCTTCGGAAGTCATAGTAATCGCCAATCTCAATTTGTTCGTCCTCAGTGGCGTAACGGATTCTGCAATGGCGCTTATCTCTCATGTGAGTTTGGAGTCCAAAAATCGATTGCTTAAGTTTGCCACATCCCAAACATTCATGATCTTCGTAAATTTTCTCGTGAAGGAAAGCGATTAAACCTTCGAGGTCGACTAGGTATTCCTTCTCCGGGATGAACATGCCATGTATACGTTCCATATGCGCAGCATTAGCAGCTGTATCGGCCGAATCTTCGTTACAGAATAAGCATCGACTTGTAGAAACCTCCACTAACTCATCTTCATCGTCCTCCATGTCGTTATCCTCAGTAGGTGTAGCCGTAGAGCCTTCAGCATCTTCAAGGTTGGTCTTCTTGATACCCTTAGAAACTTCGTCGACTTGCGCATCCGTTTCGTCACCCGCTGCTCCATTTGTCTTGATGGGTTCTCCCAATGAAAATGTTGAGCTCATTACTGAGCTTGCGTCGTCCATGTGTCCATCACTAGCCATCGCTGCCTTTGCCTTGTGTTTCTGACTGCTAAGATGGTTGTGGTAGGCATTTTCACTGAAATATGTTTTAGTACAGATCGTACAAGACTTTTCGTATGCGGCCTTGGACGCTGCTGCTGTGGAAGAAGCCTGTGCCTGCAAGACTTTCTCGGTGAAAACTTCGGAAGAAATGGGTGGTAAAGATGTAACGCGGCGCTTCAAGTTGTATCGACTATAGAGAATTGTCAGCAGGTTAGGATCAAAGAGAATAATAAAACTTACTGCCAATCGCTGCGCATATGTCCTCGTTGCAAGTCGCTATTTCTGAACGCCACTTGACATGTATTGCACGTATAAGGGTGGGAAGCATTAGTATCTGCTTGGACCGAAGGACCAGAAGCAGGACCTCTGCTGGCTGTGATGGAAGCCATTGTTGATGTTCAATAGTAAAGTAAGTGTCAAACAAACAAATGAACAAACAAATGGATATTGGATATTGGAGGTCGAAGTGTTTGGAGGGGAAAGCAGTGGTATCTTTCTTTCTTTCTTTCTTATAATTGATAATTGATAGGCGTTAAAAATCGGTTTTGCCGAAAGCCCCGAAGAATTAGCCCTGGATAGAGAGTACTTGGATACCTATGAGTCAATCCAATGTTTTTCCTTTTCAGAGTGAATTTGAGTTGTTTCTCTGGAGTTTTCACAATAGGAAGAGTATTTGAGAGGAGTATTTAAATGGAGGAAAGATTGTGGTCATTTATGATTCGAGAGAAAGAGTCATCTACCCGGGATTTTTTTTTAATGCAATCTTTTATCGTATGAAAATTTACATCTGAGAATCTGTACTGTAGTGGGGTTGGGTTATCTTTTGTTTCTGTCCCTCACTCCAATGCGATAAAAATGATGGATTGAGGGCTGATCTGAGTGATCTGAGTGATCTGAGTGATATGAGTGATAATGATTAATGATTGATGATTGATAATTGATAATTGATAATTGATAATTGATAATTGCCCAGTGCGTCATCTTACCCAGGTGCCACTGTGCCAGGCCAGGGAGCCTCGAGCCAGACCAGGCGAGCCAGAATGCTAGCTACCTAGTAGCCTCGGGCAACACTCCTTCCCTTGCCTCGCCTTGCTTACTTTGTACTTTGTACTGCACATTTGGTCAAAATCGACGGAACCATTAATAAAGCATTGAAACGAAAACGACTGACTAATAATAAAACAACCAAATATTCATATTATTCATAATCTTGTTTGTTTCAATAGTGATATTCCAATACTCCACTGATCTCCCTCAACACAAAACATTCCTCTACACTCGTTCCCAATGTCATGACTCGAGATACATCAAGAGTTCGGGAGGAACGAAGTTTCGACGGCGATGATGATATCCTGTCAGCCCTGTGGGCCGCTGCTCCTTTTCCATACCTCCCTCACGATGCGCCAGACGAGTTGAAGAAGCTTACGGTAGAGGTTGAGGATCCAAAGCAAATCTATGTCATACACAATGCAAGCAGGCGTCATCTCTTTCATTTAATGGTAGAAAAGTATGTTTGTTTGCTTGTGCTTCGTCAAAAATATTGAGGCTGATTGGATATTCCCGTAGGTACATTCGTCAACTTCGATATGGTTGCGATTCTGCTATTTGTCATACCCCAACCTGTTTTACTTGTCGCAAACGTCTTGCCCTGATCTCTGGCCGTCCAATAAGGCCATATAATTCGACGAGCGCGAGAATTCTAGCTGTCCACTTAGCTAGTCAGGACAATCCTGAACGAGGTCTCTGTCACAATCCTCTCGTAGATTCGCCAATCCAATTCAGCAAGCATGTCAAGGCTACTGCGCGAAGAAATCTATCTGGGTCTAAGAAAATACAAGTTAGTGGAGGGGACACTTTGCAAAGTAACACATTCGGTACAGACAATGAGAGGCATGGGCCGAATCGATTACGAACCCTCATAACCACTACTGGCGATCCAACTGAGACTAGGGAATCGAAACCCACCATACTGAATGACTATACCAAGATCGATCATAAATCTTTCATCCAAAATGTATTTGGCACGGCAGCTTTCAAGATGGTAGAATGGCTGACACCGAGGAATTTGGCAGCACTAACAAGACACGATGGCACAGTCTCAGATTCGAATGCACGTTCCTCACCATTAGCTGAGTCGACACCAAGTGATGATATGAATACTCCTGCGCAGAAGCTAGAAGGTTCGAGTGGGTCAGGGACAGATTCGTCAAATGCTACAAAGTTCTCGCCAACCTCTTCTGAAGCCCCAACAGAAGTTTCCGGGTATTCAAGCCACGGGGATAGAGATGAAAGTTCTAGTGGCAAAGATGTTCCAGATCCAAGTACGAGGATGGGGATGGGGATGGGCTCAAATTCGCCTCCTGCTATACCTAACGACATCAAGCCTAGCATTCAATCGAGCCCAAATGCGTTTCATACCGAAACCACACATATCTCAAGTCCAAGATCTCGAAGGAGGACAGATTCTTATGATGCCCATGTTTCCAAAGGTGTTTTGAATCTTTCGACTTCACCAAGGGCGACTGACACCGATACTACTTCGCCTTTGCCTCGCCATTCTACGCGCTCGAAACCTCAACCCACTCGGCATACAATGATAGCTAATCCAGTTCTCCATCTACCCGACACCGATATTTCTTCGTCTACAGCACCCCTTGTTAGTGCTACAGTTGAGCCTTCTATCCCAACCGAGCCTACGATGAACTCTAAATCTGATTCAATTGCTAACAACGCAATCGAAAACCCCTCGATTGAAAGGCAGAATTCAGATCCATCTTTACCTGACGAAAAACTACCACAAACACTTTCATCACTACCTATTGAAGTGATTAATCTGATCTGTGATATTCTGGAAGATGACAAGACTTGCGATAAGCATTCATTACATCCTGATCAAGTCGGTGATGATTTGAAGAGACATCAAACACGTATGCTTCCTTTGCGTCGAAAACCAAAATCGTCGATTGGTTATCCAAAATCAACTAGAAAACAATGGCGTCGTTTTATTGATCAGTGTTTGTATTCTGTCCTTAGTAAGCCCAGTTCTCTGATAAAGTCTTTCACCACCCAAGATGGGCAGGTCTTCGATACACAGACTATTTGGTACTGTATGCTACGTATGACTAGAGTTGCGCCGTCTATTATCTTTGACAGCCTATGGATAGCCGCTGGCACACTTTTCAAACCCCCACAGGAATTAGAATGGGCCAAACAGTCTCATAGTGATAGCTTGGGTCCAGATCAATCAATCTCAAAAGCCGATGCAGCTCAAATAATAAATATTTGCTTTCATGCACTCGTAGCTGCGGCACCACTGTTGAAGGATTCAAGACAGCTAGCAAACATGTCTCGTATACGTTCTTATGGAATTACTTTGCCTGGGAGAGAATCGTTCTCAATGGAATCAACCAAACTATGTCTTCAATATGACGATGCGTTCTCGGATGAATTAGCATTGAGATTGGCTCGTCGAGTCTTCTCTGCTGTTTCCACAAGACGCAGGTTTTCTGAACTGATCCAGCTCCAACAAGATACCAGAGGCGACGAAATTGAACAAGACGGTGTTTTAGAAATTATTCTCGGCACTCTGAAATATCTCGATGTTGATACACCACCTCTACTCAATTTCACAGCTGCAGAACGAGATTTGCACGAGAAGAGAATTCCTACCTTAATGCTCGATTGGGCACGAACAGTAATGATACAAGATTGGAATGGTAAAGGGGAAGTTCCCTCAGATGGGTCGTTTGGGGGTGCTTTAGAAACTATTGCGGCAATATACAGGAACAGGAAATCGCTATTACTGGGAGACATACATTTCCGTACAGAATACTTTTCCGAACGACTAGATAGTGTCGCCATGCCTCTCGAGTGGTTGTCTTTCCAGTCAAATAAACGTACCGTTCATTTGCTCGACTACCCATATTTATTCAACCCATCGACATTGGTCAATTACTTTCGAGCTATCAATTACTCGCGGATGAATCAATCCTATGAAGAAGCAAAGTCTTTAACTACACTTGTTCGTACTCACGAGGGTCTAATCTCCAATGAAGACTACCGAAACAGACTTCGAAATCGTCTTCAAACAGCGACATCAAGATTCCTGGCAATTGAGGTCAGCCGAGATGATCTACTTTCAGACGCTTTTGATGTGCTATGGCGAAGAGAAGGACGTGAATTGATGCGACCTTTGAAAGTGTCGTTTGGCGGTGAGCATGGGGAGGAAGGTTTGGATTATGGTGGAGTTCAGCAAGAGTTCTTTCGAATAGCCATGACAGAAGCTATCAACCCTGATTATGGTATTTTTACGATTGATAATAAAACAAAAATGACATGGTTTCAGCCAGGATCACCAGAGCCGTTATGGAAATTCGAGCTTATTGGAATGATCATATCTTTGGCTGTTTACAACGGTATGACTCTACCGATTACCTTTCCCAAAGCATTCTACAGGAAGTTACAAGGAGAAAGCATTACGGAACTTCACCACATTTCAGATGGATGGCCCGAGCTCGCTAAGGGTCTAACAGATCTGCTAGAATGGGACAAAAGTAAAGGGGCCGTGGAAGAGATTTTCTGTCGAACATATGAATTTAGCCACTTTCAATTTGGAAAGTTGGTAAGCCGTGAAATGACTAGCTCATCTCAATGGCCAAAGTTCTCAGATGTTAACGTTGGCGAAGATTTTGAGGATTTCGATTCAACAGATGTACCACTGGTCACGAACGAAAACCGAAACAGCTATGTTAGTGATTATATCAACTGGCTAACGAATATATCCATTCAACCACAATTTGAAGCTTTCAAAAAGGGATTCTTCGCCTGTCTTGATCCTCGCTCTCTCAACCTTTTCGACGTCGATACTCTTCAATCTCTCGTCGAAGGTGTACAAGAAATCGACATTATTGAAATGCAACGTGGTGCTCGATATACTGGCTACGAGCCCACTGATCGCGTCATTCAAGATTTCTGGTCGGTCGTCAAAGAATACGACTTGGAAAAGAAGAAAAAGCTACTCGAATTCACGACATCATCTGATAGGGTTCCTATGGGTGGAATGAAGAATTTTCAACTTACAATCCATAGGAATGGAGCAGGGACCCAATTACCGACTACGTCGACGTGCTTTCAAATCTTAATGTTACCGAATTATACAAGTAGAGAGATTTTGAAAGAAAGGTTTGATGTGGCTTTGGAACATAGTAGTGGGTTTGGTAATCATTGAGGAAGACGACGATGGGTGGAGAGGGGGGTGTATTGATCACTTTTACGGGCGATTGATACGGGTTTTATGGATGTTGATTTGAGCGCACGGTATGGCATCCATGACTTCTCGAAGTTGGGAATAGTAAAATAGCGATGGAAATGATAATGAGTGTTTAAATACCTTCTTGTATTGTATTGGATAGCGAATCGAATGGAATGGTGGCGTTTCTTTGGCTCGATCTTTCGATCTTTCGATCTCTCTTTCTCTCTGCATGGGAAAGCATGGCATATCGCATAGTTTAGCATAGCATAACATAACATAGCATAGCATAGAATAAATAGTATAGCGTCTGAGGAGAAATACGAATGCTTGCTTGCTTGCTTGCTTGTGATATGTATGAGTTTATTGATTTATTGATTTATGGAAGTATTGTATTGAAATGTTGAGAACTGAATTGAACTGAATGGGAATGGGATAGAATAAATTGAGGAAATAAGGAAATAAGAAACCCCATAATCTCTCTCTTGATTTCTTTCGGTTTGCGGCCCGCGTTTCCGGAAATGGTAGCTTGGCGGTTGGAATTGGGATTTAGAGGAGAGGAGGGGTTGGAGAGGGGTTGGAGAGGGGTTGGGGATCGTTGGGTAGGTGGGTAGGTGGGTGATTTGCTTGGTATGGTTTGCTTGGTATGGTATGGTATGGTTTGCTTGGTATGGTATGGTATGGTATGGCTTGGTATGGTATGGTGTATGGTATGGGGTGGGAATTGGAATTGGAATATGATGATGATAATATGATAATATGATGAAGATAGTATTTGGAATTATTAGATGGATGGATTTATAGGTGTGGGTAGGTATTTATCTTGGGATTTATCTTGGGATTTATCTTGGGATTTATCTTGGGATTTATCTTGGGATTTTGGATTTTGGATTTTGGATGGCTAGATGTATGGATGTATGGATGTATGGATGGTAAGATAGGTAGATAGGTATTGGATTACGATAGTGATTTTGAGATGGGGTTTGAGATAATAGGGAGTGGTGTATGTAGTGGTGTATGTAGTGGTGTATGTAGTGGTGTATGTAGTGGTGTATGTAGTGGTGTATGTGAAGTGTGTGGAAATGATGATATTAGGGGTGTGTTGTGTTATGTTGTGTTATGTTGTGTTATGTTGTGTTATGTTGTGTTATCAAATCCTTTTGGGAGAAAGAGAGAGAGAGAGAGAGAGAGTGAGTGAGAGAGAGAGAGAGAGAGAGGAGAGAGAGAGAGAGAGAGAATGAATGCTGGTTCTTTACTAATTGTAATGCAATGTAGGTGACTATCGCGTATGTAAACGCATGGTTTGTAGAAAGTTGATAGATAGTGGAGCTAGAAGTTGATGAGTATATTGCTTGCGATGTACTGTAGCGAACTCAGTCGCAGATACTTCGTAGCATTTTGTGTTCTTGGAGTGTAGTTTGTAGATAGGCAGGTAGGGGGGTCGATATATCACGCGTGGGTATTGGAGAATGAATCTCACGCTCGATTATCTGGGTTGTAGTTCAGTATCGAGTGATTTGAAGGGCTTACCTGTCTAATCTGGAGAGTCATAATTTGTGTGCTGAATTAAAGAGGTTTAATTATTCGATGATATAGGCAGGCTCATGATTAGATTGATATGGATATGCAAAGCACAAAACTTGGATAAAAGCAAAGGTATATTGCAATATATTCAAAGCAGCACACCTAAATACAAAGGTATAATACTAACTAAATAAACATTGATCCACCACAAGCGAGCGGGACTGTCACAATTCTCCGTTGTTGACTTGGAAGAGAACTATCGAATTGCACCAAGTGCGTAAATCTTGAAAATATATTCCAGATCGACAAACTTGATACAACCATGCCTCTGCTCGTCCAACAATTCCAAAAGAGTGAGAAAAATTAAGCATCTTGAATATTAACTACCTCACCATACGCATCCAAACCCAATCTCTTCTTCGCAATCGATGTCTTGACAGGATTGGGACTGTTGAAAATCTCATCCAACTCCTCCAAGGTACGATTTCTGGTCTCGGGGATAAAGAACCACACAATAGTCGATTGAACCGCACACCAAATAGTAAAGATGATGTAAGTTTTCCAGCCGATCTTTTGCATGGAGACGGGCCATGCGAATTGGTTGAGGAGACCGGCGGCTGCGACGGCGAAACCGGAGAATCCCATGCCCTTGGCGCGCATTTCAAAGGAGAGGACTTCGACGGGGTAGAGGGCTTGGAGAGGTGTGAAACCGACAGAGTAGACGGCACCGAAGATGAAGATGAAAGCGAGGGAGGCGGTACCGGCTGCGTGGTTGGTGCCGACGGATTTGGGGTCTGAGGGGTCCGGAATGGATTCTTGGTAGAGGGCAGCGGAAACGGTCATGGCAAGCCAGACTATACAACAGCCTGTATGAGTATTGATGTTAGTAGAGGTTTCTTCGAAAGTTTATTGGGGAGGATCATTTACCAATGTTAGAGAAGAGAAGAAGAGGACGACGACCAATACGATCAACCATTGCGGCACCGAAGAGAGCCCAGCAGAATTGTTGACAATTGTTGATTAGAATGACGTTTGCTTGGCCAATAGCACTGTCAATACCGATAGTCTCAAGAACTTTGCCCATGAAATATGACAAGACAGCTGAATTTTATTAGCTAGACTGTTTTTGGGCAGAGAATTGCAGAATACATACCATTTCCGGCCCATTGACCAAAGATCGTAATACTGACGTTACAGAAGAGACGGTAGCAAGTCGATCTGTTCTTGAAAAGCGCTCTGTAATCCCACCAACGCTTGTCGGCACCGTCCATTTCCAAAAGTTCTTCGTATTCGTTGAGTTGCAATTTGACCCATACACTGTCTGTATTTCCTTCTCCGTGGTATTTGGTAAGCATCTTCTTGGCTTGATCGCGTTTGTTATTGACGTAGAGCCATCTTGGGGATTCGGGAAGGAAGTAAGCGGAAATGAAGATGATACTGGAGAACATCAATTGGATCCAAATGATAAGTCTCCATGATTCGTCGCCTCCAATGTTGCTTGCTCCACGAGCTACTCCACTAGCAATAATTGATCCAGTAAACCTAAATCTGATTAGACAAACACTAAAAACAGCTCTATATTAAACTTACCAAAAGCAATTGAAGATAGCTGTAACTACACCACGGTATGCTGGGTGAGAAACCTCAACGACATACATGGGACCAGCGGCGGAAGCGATGTTGACACCGAAACCAAGCAAGAAACGACCACCCATGAATTGTCTTACACCTGCTTCTCGGGTTGCAACTCCTTGAATGATCGTACCGAGGATAATGCAGAGACATCCGAGCCACATTCCAAATCTTCGTCCGAAAGTATCGGCTGCGGGTCCAACGAATGGTAATGAAACTACACCACCAATTTGGTACATGGAAGTAACGATACCGGCCCAGATCCCAGCATTTTCACCGTGGTAGAACTCGAGAAACCAAGGGTTGACAAGTAAATTGTTGATAAGCGATCCATCGTAACCGTTCATGGTAGCACAGAAAAATCCGATAAAACAAGCAGTGTAGAGTTGGATTGTTGACCACGTGAAAGCCTTGGGGGGCTCCTTGAGCATTGCCTCGTTGAATGTTTCATTTCCGAGAACGACTTTGGCTCCAACTTCGGCATGTTTCTGTAAATTCAATTGAGATTAGAATCAATCTGTGAGGAAATCGAATTGGAAATCCTCAATCATACCTCATCGTCACTTCGAGGGTGAGCGAGCTCGGCCTCCTCGTACTGAGTATTTGTCTTCTCCGCCATGACTTCCAATTTTCTGCCAAACAAGAAAAGACTATGACAATTGAAAAAGATCTACTGATCTGAGAGAGGGATGATGTTCCAAAATGAACGGAATATGCTTCACTTATGTATTGTAACGATGGCAATCTTGGACCCTGTCAATGGGCGGCTGGCCTTGTCCCCTCGTACAGCCATAATAAGCATACTCTCAATAGCGGGGAGCTAAATAATCTTTGGAACCAATCTATACTCCAACCCCGGATTTTCGGGCAGGCATTCCTGGTGTGCTTTTCTTTTCCAATAAAAAGATGCCATACAACTTTGTGGGGTCCGGGGTCGTACATTATGCAAGTATACTTTTCACAGCATACACAAGGACTTCGGATCCTTGATCCTTTCGTTTGCACGTATGATTCTTATCCCATTATCGGCTGGCCGTGAGGAGGCAAAAAAATGTCAACCCTTGAGAAATATCAGAACTGCTGATTCGAAGACGTGTTTCCCAGTACAGAAGTCATTTGCGGAGTAACTACCCCGTGTTCCAGAAAGGGAATAAGCTGACAACGCCTGACATGCCATCGAGCTGATTTTTGGCGAGATTGGCTCGATTGGCTTTTTGGTACCCGCTTGTCACCTGTATACCAAGCAATGCTTAATACACTTTTCCACGAATGAATATCCCATCCCACGACAAGGGATTGAAAGTTTCAAATAGAATAATCACGCTTCTGGTTAAAACGGGTTCCTGATGGAGGTCTGTGATAGATCATTATTCGGTCCAGCTCTCTGCTTTTCCTCGTCTGTCTTCTTTGGGTTTCGTTTATATTTGGTGGCGTTGAAACGAGCGATGGGTGTTTTTTTGAAGCGTTGCAGTGTCAGTTTGTACAGTGAGACATTGGGTGATATTTTAGACTAGGAAAGTGTTAATCTAGCGTGATATCACGTGAATGTCATGAGTTATGCTTTTATGTGAGTTATGTCTGCATCTCGTGAGGTTGACCAATCATTGGTAAGGTTGATGGCTCATTGCCGCCTACTAGTGCTAATCTGGGTCAACTTTGTTTTTGAGAGACAGGAGGGATTTTCTCGTAGTAAGTACTTTAGTTCGTAGGACAGTGCATGCTACCTGCGCGACATGCTTCTAGAATTCACCACCATTACAACTACTTCAATGCATCGATCGACAACTCAACAACATTTCTATACTATTTCTTCCTTCGACAAA